CGCTGGCCGAACTGCTGGGCGCGCCGGGACCCGCGCCTGGCATCGCCAAGGGGTCTCACCCGGTGCACTGCATCCTCTTCCTGGCGCTGTTCGTGGTCACCAATGTCCGATCCCTGCAGGTGCCCCAGCTGCAGCAGGTCGGTCAGCTGGCACTGTTCTTCAGCCTCACCTTCGCGCTACTCTGCTGCCCCTTTGCGCTGGGTGGCCCGGCGAGGGGCTCTGCTGGAGGCGCAGTGGGATCCGCGGTTGCTGAGCAGGGGGTTTGGCAACTCCTTTTGGTCACCTTCGTGTCCTATGCCTTGCTGCCCGTGCGCAGCCTACTGGCCATCGGCTTCGGGCTGGTGGTGGCTGCCTCTCACTTGCTGGTCACAGCCGCCTTGGTCCCTGCCAAGCGCCCACGTCTCTGGAGGACGGTAAGTGCCATCACGCGCCCCCCCCATTGGGTTGGAGACACACCTGCCAGCGGGACTGGTGGTGCCAGGAGTTTAACGTTCTTCTTCCTATGGGGAGGGTGGGGAAACTGAGGCTCTGAAGAGAGGTACGGGTGTTCAAGGTCACTCAGCAAGCTGGGAATGTAGTCAGTGTTAGCACCCACCACCCGGGGTTTCTTTAGAGAAAAGAATCCACAGCGTCTTTAGGGTGGAGACGCGAGACCCGGGTGTGAGTGTGTGTGTGTGTGTGTGTGTGTGTGTGGGGGGGGTGATGGTAGTGACAGGCCCAAGGTCAGGCAGTAGTTGTGTGGTCAAGTGGGGGGCCCCAGCCTCATCCACTGCTTTGGGTTGCACCCATCTCCGTAGAGAGATGAAAAGTGGGAGGATGCTTGGTCTCGAGGCCAGGCTTCTAGTCTGGCGGAGCGCGTAGCCCCTAGGCTTCTCTCCAGCTTGCCTGGAGCGCATCTGGGGCTTGCTTCTCAATTCCACGGACCCAAGGGAGCAGTTAGTGGGAGAGAAATGGACTTTGAATTCCTCCAATATCGATAACTACCCTGCTGTGAACCCGACTGCTGCCCTGAAGGAGAGAAGTTTGCCAAGGTCACTCACAATCCAGGCTTCACAGCCTCTGCTCCCAGAAGCCCTGACCCTGGCTCCACAAAGCCTGGGTGGGACTTTGTCTCTTTCAACTTGGGCGGGTGAGGTGGCTGCTGGGACAAGGGCAGAGGACTTAACTCCTCTTGAGACTCCTCTTGGACTCTGGAGGTACCTGTTCTCCCAGGCCACCGAATCCAAGCAGGTGTGGGGTGGACCAGGAGACTGTTCCCAAGAGTTTGGGACCTTGTCCTGCACTGGTCCTGCCCAGGCTTGGCAGCTGAGGGAGGGTTTTGTTTCTAGGTCTTGCTACAGAACAGCAAGAGGAAGATGAGAGACAGATAGGTGGGGGAACCCATATAAGGAAAGAAGGTAGTCTTGGGAGCACATGGGAAGTTGTGGGGGGCTGGGCTGGGCCTAGAATCCAAATTGGGGGAGGGTAACGTGTGTGTGTGTGTGTGTGTGTGTGTGTGTGTGTGTGTGTTTGTGTCTGAGAGAGAGAGAGAGAGAGAGAGAGAGAGAGAGAGAGAGAGGGAGAGAGAGAGAGAGGTGTACCTGCTGACTATAGGATGAACACTCACCACTCACACCCAGAATCTGATTTCAGGGAGCAGCAGTACATGTCACAGGGGCCATGATGACAGGTCTAATGCTGAGCATGCATTGTCGGACTAGTGAGAGACATGGGCTCAGGTCCGTGGTGGGTTCTCTAGGTGCCTTAAAAGGCTGTGTTGTTATCTTTTTAAACTGGTTATTTTTTCCCCCTACACAGCCTCTAGGCATTCCTTTTAGAGAAAAGATTTAAAAGGAGAGAGGGAGGAGTCTGCAAAGGTGCCAGTGCCCCTCCCTCTGGGTAGAGGAGCCCTTGTTACTCCAGTCGGGGAGTAGAAACAAGGATTCTTAGGAGGCTGATACCCAGGTTTCCCAGTGACTAGCCTCCAATTTGATGTAAATCCCTCCCTCACTGAAACTCAGCCATGCTCCCACCCTCAAGGGAAGATGATGCTTCTCACAGACAGTGAACGTTAAAAAGTCCATAAGGAAAGCATGTGTTGAAAATATTCTGCCATTTCTAAAGCCTTTATCCTCTACAATATTTGTATTCAAGTCCTATATTGACACCTAAATGGAGATCAAGGTAGGGAAACCTGTAGTGAATGAAGGGAAGCTGGTAGTCAGTCCCCAAGGATTTCAGATGTCTTCCCATTACAAAATTCAAGGCACCCTGCAGTCTGTCAGTGAACTCTGCCACTTAGTGTTTGAGATGCCTGAAGAAGGTGGCACTTGCTTTAGGGAATGCTGGTGTACCTTGTTGCCTTACTGCCACCTCCCTTCAGAGCCTGTCACCACTGCTGCACAGCCTTCTGCTGATGCCGCTTGCCTCCTAATTCTGGGCAGGCAGTAAGGGAGAAGAGGCAAGGGGCAGGTATGCAGAAAGATCTGGGAGAATGAGTCACCGAGGAAACCCTGCAGGGCAGCCCTTGCTGGCACACAGGGGATGCTGATTTAGGGTGTTAGGTCTCCATGGGAGTCTTTGGGGTCTGAGTCCTGTGAAAGCTCCAGAGTCAGGTGTGCACCCCCATCTCAGACTTACAGGATTAGCTTCCTGTCAAGGGTAGAGTCCCAAAGCAGACCTACACTTTGCATGGAGGTTTGGGCTCCAGACCCTATCCTATGCAGGGGAACAAGTCCCTTCCGGAACCACTGCCCATCTTCAGGGAGGTTCCGAGAACCTTGGGGAAGTAAGGTAGGAGAGCTTGGAATGCTATTGAGGGGAGGGGGTTCTTGGGAAAAGTGGTCCTGGGCTGGTCTAGGTGGGCCTCTACCCACCGTGGCCTCCTGCCCTGCCTTTCCTGAGGCTGGGGTAGAGGAGGCAGACAGGTTGTGTCCACTGGCTCTGAGCTTCACTTGGTGTTCTTCATAGCTGCCGTGTGAAGCTCATTTGTCCCAGATGAGTCTGTATTACTGTTATTATTTTTTCTATTTGAAGTAGCCCAGGTCTATTGAACTTGTGTACATCATGTGTCTCAACTAGGCTGCCTATCAGGGTAGGGGAAATGGACTTCAGTTTCTGTTGGTTCTTAACCCTAGGTTGCCTTATTTCTGTATATTACCAAGCTGTGGGCACCACCCTCTGGGGCTCTGATGGCTTCAGATGCACCCTATTTCCTGTAACATCTCTGACGTCTCAGGAGTGAGGGCTGCTGCACTCCTTGGTGCACAGGTGGCTGTGGGCATGGAGCAGGGTGGCTCAGGTGTTGACTTAGTTGGGTGCAGGTGGGCTTGTGAGTGAGTGGTCTCCAAGCATTTGCAGGGGTGTGCTTGTATAATCCTGTGGCCGAGGGGGTGTGTGGAGAACGAGCTCTGTGCCTCAGTTTCCCCTCTGTCAATGGGAGCAGCAATTCTTTCTATGGTGTCACAGGACAGCTGTGTTTTCTGGGTACCATGTGTGGACTCTGTCTGGCAGGCGTTCCCTATCCTGTCAGCCATCTGGAATCAGTGGCATGGATGTTGCTGCTGAAGTCAGCTGCTTAAAGCCAGTGATCTGCTAGCTTGTCTCTAGCTTTGTGAACCAGAGCTGTTTCTTTGGAGTGAGGTGCTTTCGATGTGTTGAGATCACACATGGAAAGGAACTCCTAGGATGTGGATGACAGGATACTATGCAATGGCACAGACTGAATGCGGCCAGAAGGGCCCTGTGGCTGTGGTGGGAGTGGTGTCCCTGTGGTCTGGGGCTTTGTGCCTTCGTCTTGCCTGGCAAGCCCCTATGAAGCCAGGACTCAGCATGGACACGAAGAGCCGGGTGTGGGGCAGGGAGACTGTTCTCACAGCTGTCTCCATCTCAGGGGCTGAATGAGACAAGGAGAGAACCTCGGCTCTATAGGACACTGTTGTCCTGTGTCTGGGGACATGAGTCATACCTGCCTTTCCTCTGTTCCCCCTCACATACAAGCACACATTCCCCCAGTGCACACTCACCCACTCCCGTGCAAGCACCCACACCTATGCTTCACGAGTACACTGCCACATCCTCCCATGGACACACTTGTGTTTGCATGTAGACACACCCACAGTCCTAGATACCCACTCACACATCCACACAAATACATCCACATGCACGCTCAAGCTCACTGTTATGTTTACATCCATGCTTATGCACATGACAACACAAACACAAATCAGTGCACACTCACATACTCAAGACATTTGATACAATACACATTCACCCATATATGTTTTTACACTCATTTTCATACTTGTGCGCCTATGCTCACACACTAGCACATACATGTTCGCCTGCACTTAGAGCCTCATGTCCACTCGTGCACACACAAAGCAGATGGACACACATTTAGGAATGGATATACTACTCTTGCACGCACACACATGAACACTCAAACATGTCTATCTGCACAATTTCGCGTGCACATGGACACTCGGGCCACTGGAATATTCCAGTTTATTGTCTTTGTGGTAGATGCATCAGCAGGGGGAAGATGTAGCCCCGAGGAGGGTAGCCAGGGCAGAGTCCTGAACCCCTATTTCCATGACTTTGCATTACTTCAGGGTCTGGACTGTAGAATGAGGAGTCCAAGCTCATACCTCGACAGGATCAGTGAGATTGTGTGTGTCCATATGGGGCCAGAGTGCCACAAGGACAATGCCTAGGTCCAGGATTCCCCAGCACTCAATGAGGAAGTGAGTGAGACCTCCCACCACTTAACCCAGGCCATGTTGTGTCCCATGTTCCCCACTCATAGCAGTACCCTTTCATTAAGTTCCTCCTGCTGTCTTCCCTCCCTGGGACTCTTCCTCTATTCTTTTTAACCATCCACTTTCGCTGGGCACATGCCTTTAATCCCAGCCCCGGGAGGCAGAGGCAGGCGGATCTCTGTGAGTTCAAGGCCAGCCTGGTCTCCAGAGCGAGAGCCAGGATAGGTTCCAAAACTACACAGAGAAACCCTGTCTCGAAAAACCAACAAAACAAAACAAAACAAAACAAAAAAACCATCCACTTTCCCTTGACCTCTTCTCAGTTGTGCTGGGACTTACTGAGTTCTTATGCTAAGGGGCCACACCCTCCTTCCAAGCGATGTGCTGAGACACCAGCCTCAGGAGGAGGGTGGGAATCCAGGCCAGGACTGAAGACAGAATAGATCGTGAATGATCTCTGCTCGGACTGGGAGAAAGGCAGGGCCTGCTTTGATGTCCAAGTGGGGTATTTGCTGCCTTTAGTTTGGAATAAGAAGAAAGCTTGGAATCATGCTGCTTGAATCCCTGGCTGCAGCACTGTGGGCGTCAGTCCAATGTGGCCATCTTCACGTGTATGCACACTCACGTGTGTATTTGTGTGTATGCATATAGGTTCCACACAGGCGTGCACACAC